GTGTATGGCTAGTATTTATTCTTCTAGAAACTTCTTAGTAATGTATGGCTAGGATTAACTCTTCTACACACTTCCTAGCCCTCTTAAACAACTATAAATAGGGGTCTTGTGCTCTCATTTAAGCAAGCAAGCAAGAAGTGAGCTTGAGAGCTTGAGTGTGTAGTGTAGCCTTGTGTGAGTGTCCACCAAAATAAAGGAATTGTGTGAAAGTGAGGTGTTCTTGTAAGAACAAGTGTTGTATTCTCAAGTGTTCTATCAATAAAAGTTTCCTTTGTGTAGAGTGTTGTGTTCTTCAAATTCCATCAAAGTGGTATCAGAGCCAAAGTTCGATCTAGCCGGGCCAATCGAAGGTGCTCGTGTACGAGATGGCGAACATGATCCAGCCACAGATTCCGAAGCTGATGAAGACCAATTACGACAACTGGAGTATCCAGATGAAAGTCTTGCTCGGCTCGCAAGACTTGTGGGATCTCGTAGAGAATGGCTACACTGAACCGGAGTCACCTGCAGCAGAAGCAACTCTCACCGCCACTCAGAAGAGTGAGTTGAAGGAGGTCAGAAAAAGAGACAAAAAAGCTTTGTTCCTAATATTCCAAGGCGTAGATGAATCTGCGTTTGAGAAGATTTCCAATGCCCTGTCCTCTAAAGAAGCATGGGAGATTTTACAAAAATCCTATCAAGGTGCGGAAAGAGCCAAAAAGGTACGCCTCCAAGCATTAAGAGTTGAATTTGAAAATTTGAAGATGAAAGCTACAGAATCAATATCGGATTATTTTAGTAGAGTTCAGACAATAACAAATCAAATGAAGAGAAATGGAGAAGCAATTAATGATGTAAGAATTATGGAGAAGATACTTAGGACTTTAGACTCTAAATTCAAATATATTATTCCGGCAATACAAGAGTCTAAAGATCTTTCCGAAGTATCTATTGATGAGCTGCAAGGTTCTCTGCAAGCTTATGAACAAGATATAAACATTAGTTCAAATCAAGCGGAGAATCTAGAACAAGCCTTGCAGAGTAAGATGACTATCAAAGAAGATAGTCGAAGAGGACGTGGAGGCTACAGAGGCAGAGGCTCATTTCGAGGTGGCTCAAACTTCCAGCAAGGTCGTAGGAGACAGTACCAAGGAGGCCATGAAAATCAAGATCGAAATAGAGATCGTGAACGATCATTCGATCGAGGACGAGGTCGTGGCACACGAGGACGAGGACAAGGAAGAAGTTACCATGAGGACAGATCTCAGCCACAGTGTTACAAATGTAAGAGATACGGTCATCTCAGCTACGAATGTTGGGAGAAATCAAATCAAGTGGCAGAAAGAAGCAACTTTGTAGAAAGGGAGCAGGCAGACACTTCAACAGTCCTGTTGACGTACCAGGAGAGCGAAAGCAAGAATAAAGATATCTGGTATCTAGATTCAGGTGCCAGTAACCACATGTGCGGCATCAAGGAGTTTTTTACCGAGCTGAACGAGACGGTACAAGGAGATGTCACCTTTGGAGATCAGTCAAAGATTCCAGTGAAAGGCAAGGGCAATATAATGATCCAGACAAAGACGGGCGAGAACAGGTACATCTCTGATGTCTACTATGTTCCAGCATTACGAAATAATATTTTGAGCCTAGGCCAGCTCCTTGAAAGAGGCTATGATATACATCTAAAAGACCTTGCCCTCACTATTAAAAATAAAAATGAAGTTATTGCAAAGGTGAACATGTCTAGAAATAGACTGTTTACCTTAAATATTCATGCTGACCCTGTCAAGTGCTTGAAGTCAATCATAAAAGACGAGACTTGGCTCTGGCATCTACGATTCGGGCATCTCGCTTTCAGTGGCCTGAATCTTCTATGGAAGGAGAAAATGGTAAAAGGATTGCCGCAAATCAACCATCCGAACCAGCTATGTGAAGGCTGTATGAAGGGCAAACAACATAGAAGAAGTTTCGAAGTTGGAAAGTCAAGAAGAGCAACAGAGTTGCTACAATTGGTCCACACAGATATTGCAGGACCATTTGAAGTCATCTCTCTTGGAGGAAACAGGTATTTTCTCACATTTATTGATGATTATAGCAGAAAAACTTGGGTTTATTTCCTGAAGGAGAAATCCGAAGCTCTGGAGAAATTCAAAGAATTCAAGGAGATGGTAGAAAAGCAAAGTGGGTACCACATCAAAGTGCTCCGATCAGATCGAGGTGGAGAATACACTTCGAAGGCATTCAACAATTTCAACAAGCAGTACGGGATAATTCATCAACTCACTGCCGCCTACACACCACAGCAGAATGGCATAGCAGAGCGGAAGAATCGTACCATTCTTGATATGGTCAGAAGCATGTTGAAGAGCAAGTACCTGCCAAAGACTTACTGGGCTGAAGCCGTGGACTGTGCAGTTTACCTCCTCAACAGATGTCCGACAAAGAGCGTCAAGTTCAAGACACCATTGGAGATGTGGAGCAACATCAAGCCAAGTGTCAACCACCTGAAGGTGTTTGGGTGTATTGCATATGCACACATCCCGGAGCAGAAAAGAAAGAAGTTGGACGATCGAGGAGAAAAGTGCATATTCGTTGGGTACGAGAGGAGGACAAAAGCATACAAGCTCTACAATCCAGTTACAAAGAAGATGATCATTTCAAGAGACGTGGAGTTCGATGAAGAAGATTATTGGAAATGGACCGATGAAGATAAAAATATTAAAGGTATGTTCTTTGAAGATAATGATGATGACTTGCAGGAGGTTGGAAGACCAGAACAAAGTCCACCTAATAGTCCAGCTCCATCAACCCCAACATCAACGCCGACATCATCCAGCTCAAGTGAAGGAAGCTCTTCAGGGGGAGCAACAAGGAGGATGAGAAGCCTAAGAGATCTGTACGACGATACAGAGCCTGTCGAGATGATGGATGACTACACACTATTCTGCTTGTTTGCAGAATGTGATCCGGTCAGCTATGAAGAAGCTGCTCAAGAAGATAAGTGGAGAAAAGCCATGGATGACGAGATCGAGGCAATCAAGAGAAATGACACATGGGAGCTCACTACCTTACCTGAAGGCCATAAACCAATCGGAGTAAAGTGGGTGTACAAGACAAAGACAAATCAAGATGGCGGAATCGAGAAGTACAAGGCCAGGCTTGTTGCAAAAGGCTATAGTCAGCGAGAAGGAGTTGACTATGAAGAAGTGTTCGCACCAGTCGCGAGGATCGACACCATCCGACTCATTATCGCATTGGCAGCACAGAACCGGTGGAAGATCTACCAGATGGACGTGAAGTCTGCATTCCTGAACGGCTACTTAGAAGAAGAAGTCTACATCAAGCAACCACCAGGGTACGAGGTGAAGAATCAAGAAGACAAAGTCTACAAGCTGAAGAAGGCATTGTATGGACTGAAGCAAGCGCCCAGAGCATGGAATGCCAGAATCGATGCATACTTCCAGAAGAACGGATTCCATCGGAGCCCGTATGAGCACTCTCTCTATACCAAGAAGAAGGATGAAGACATCATGATCGTATGTCTCTACGTGGACGACATGATCTTCACCGGCAACAATCCGAAAATGTTCGAGGAGTTCAAAAAGAATATGATCAAGGAGTTCGAGATGACTGACATTGGAGAAATGTCATACTTTCTTGGAGTAGAAGTGTCGCAATCAGAGAAAGGAATCTTCATCTCTCAGAAGAAGTATGCAAAGGATATCCTTCAGAAGTTCAACATGAGCAACTGCAATCCAGTCGCAACTCCTGCAGAAGTCGGAGTGAAGCTGAGGCGAGACACACCAGGAAGCTATATTGATCCAACTCTATACAAGAGTTTAGTCGGGAGCTTGCGCTACCTAACCATCACCAGGCCCGACATAGTGTTCGCGGTAGGACTGGTGAGCAGATATATGGAGGAGCCAAGACAGGAGCATTTCAAAGCAGCCAAGAGAATTCTTAGGTATGTCCGAGGAAGTATTGATCAAGGATTATTTTATACACAGTGTGCAGATTCAAGATTAGTCGGCTACACCGACAGCGATTATGGTGGAGATTTAGATGAAAGAAAGAGCACATCTGGCTACATGTTCAATATCGGATCAGCAACATTCTCATGGTCATCAAAGAAGCAGTCTGTCGTCGCTCTATCAAGTTGCGAAGCAGAATACATAGCAGCATCGACATGTGCGTGTCAAGCAATATGGCTCAGGAGTCTGATGAAGGAATTGCAACACCAACAAGAAGCACCGACAGAGATTCTCATCGACAACAAGTCAGCTATTGCACTTGCCAAAAATCCGGTAGCACATGGACGAAGCAAACACATAGAGACAAGATATCATTTCATCCGACATCAAGTTAAAAAGAAGACTGTGATGCTGTCATATTGCAAGTCTGAAGACCAAATCGCTGACATCTTCACCAAGCCACTAAAGACAGAGACATTTTTGAAGCTTAAGAAGAAGCTTGGACTTGAGAGAAATGAAAGTTGGTGATGAGGGGGAGTATTAGAATTCCTCACCAACTTAGATTATTCTAGAACAACTTTCTAGAACTTCTTTCTAGTAACATCCTACAAAATATCTACCATGAAGTTTCTAGGAAGATACAAGTGTATGGCTAGTATTTATTCTTCTAGAAACTTCTTAGTAATGTATGGCTAGGATTAACTCTTCTACACACTTCCTAGCCCTCTTAAACAACTATAAATAGGGGTCTTGTGCTCTCATTTAAGCAAGCAAGCAAGCAAGCAAGAAGTGAGCTTGAGAGCTTGAGTGTGTAGTGTAGCCTTGTGTGAGTGTCCACCAAAATAAAGGAATTGTGTGAAAGTGAGGTGTTCTTGTAAGAACAAGTGTTGTATTCTCAAGTGTTCTATCAATAAAAGTTTCCTTTGTGTAGAGTGTTGTGTTCTTCAAATTCCATCAGTTCTGTCAAGAACCAGGGGAAACAATTGAAGACTGAAAAGAAACTCTTTGCCTATCAATTTATCTGCTAATTGTCTACTTTTAAAACTTCACTCATAGTTTATCGGCAATTCTTCCTACAGCATCAGCAAGTTTTGTCATAACAGCGAGCAGGCTTTCTGTCTGATCCTTTCTCTGATCTCTGTCCAGTTGACAATTTAGGTTTCGAGCTTCAAGATTGGCTGCCAGTAGCTTAGTGCTTTTTTCTAGTATTTTGATTAGCTTTTTGTCGAAACTAGTTTCTTGTTCTTCTTCTTCTGCAGCTTCTGATGTTCTTCGCCTTTTTTGGCCTTTCTCAGGATTGTTATCTGCTTGCTGATTATCATTTGAATTGCCTGATGAAAGCTAAGAATAGTTAGATTGAGATATGGTGAACTTGAAGATGGAGATTGTTTGTTCAATAATGTGAAAGATTACCTGTATCAGAATGTGCATAATTTTCAGGCTGGTATTTCCTCTCTGAATTCATTAAAAAAATTACAGTAAAAGAATTAGTATAAGGCACCATATTAATCCATAACAAATTTATACTACTTTTTTTTTTCTTTTTTTAATTTTTCCTTAAACCATCAACTACAGAAGAGTTGTCTGCAGTTGAACTCTGTTTTATAGAACCTGAGATGTGCTAGTTTTACCTTTGAAATCCTTCTTTCTTGAAAATATAAGAGTCAATATTTGCTCGGCTTATTTCGGACTGTACATATACAGCACGCCATATTCAATATACATTTCAAGCAGATGATGCCAGATATTCGATATTTTTTAGAACATGAATATACGCATTCATCTCCGGACTTACACCCTTGAGTAAAATGTAAAGAAATGTAATATAACATTGGCAAGTGACCTGTAGTCATGGAATTCTGGAAAGGTATAATTTTTGTACCGACAAAAGCTCCATAAATAGACGATGGCATTAGTTTGATTGAGTTCATAATAAAAATTTAAAATTTTAGTTCCGAGTATCCATCCAGTAATTCACCCAACTTGTGATAGAAGAATCTTAAAGATAAAATGAAATCCCCTAACTTAACGTACCTGTTGATCCTTGCCTAATCTTTCATGCATCTAGGATAAGATAAAATGAAATTATGCTGGTATACATAAGTACTAACTACTATATATTATTTTTCTTTCCCATTTAGCCATCCTAGTTAATCACATAACAAACAAACATAAGTGTCATCTAAGGGGGTGTTTGGTTCAATTTCTAGAAATTATAGGAAATGTTTTCCACTTAAAATATAATTTTCTTGTATTTCTTAAAAAAATTATAGTAAAAGTTTTGAGAAATTAAAAAGTACAAATTTTCTTGTTTTTTGTACTTTGCTTGTTTGGTTCAAAACAAGAAAATGGCTCATAACTTTATAGAAAATAACAAGATTTGGTAGGTTTTTAATTAAGTATGGTATGTGTCAGATTTCTGGTGATTTCCTCTCATTTTGAGAGGAAATTGTTTTTTGTAAAATTTGGTAGGTTTTGATATTTTATAGAAAATATTTCTGTAAATTTTTTGTTGAACCAAACACAATTTACAGAAATCTCTGGAAAACTTTTAATTACAAATTTACCATTGTCAGATATTTTGATGAAGGTTTTCTCAAAAATTATGCAACCAAACAGCCCCTAAGCATAATTAAGGGTAAAAGCTATTTTGCGCGTCTAGATCCCAAAGTTTTATGTGTCAATTTCTTCATGGAAAAAAAACAAAAACAAAATAAACAACTGATACGACGTAAAAGTTCAATTAAAATGGGATATCAAGAGAGATCATAGACAAATTAGTCTCTTCTTGCCACCCGCGTAAAAGAGATACCTCTTAACTTTCAATCTATTAAGGGGCTGTTTGGTTCGCTATTATAAGGGGTGGAAAACTCAGAAAACCCCTCCACGTCAGATTTTTAGCCCTCCACGTCAGTTTTTTTGATTCCGTCCATTTCTTTGTGCCGCTTTGGTTCGCTCGGATGGAAGAGGGAAAACTCTGTTGAAATCACCGCCAACTCAGATTTTTTTTCCCTCTCCGATTTCCTTCCCTAACCGAGTGAAATTGATGAAAACTCTACCACGTCAGATTTTTTTCCTTTTCTGCTTTGTTTACAAAAGTTTTCCTTTTTTTTCTATGCGAACCAAACACAAGAAAAATAAATACATTGGTTTCTCACCATTTTTTATGTGCGAACCAAAGCAAAACAATCTATTTCTTGGAAAAGTTTGGAAAACTCAAAACTTATATTTCTTTACATGGAATTGCATTTCCCTATATCAAGAAAACGAACCAAACAGCCCCTAATAGTACATTTTAATTTGTTAAACAAGATGACATCCATACATGGAAATTAACAAATTTACTAACCAGATATGGGGACCACCACCAAAGGCTCATCCATCACACCATCATCCGCGGCGGCGGCGGCATCATCCTCCTCCTCCTCCTCCTCTGTAAA